GATAAAGGAGAAGTTATAGTTAAATTTTCCCCCTATGACTCATATTTCTATCGAATTTTATTTTCCTTTGCCTCCTACAAAGTATTCCCATCTCGGCCCAACTGTATTGCACTTTATACCTCGCCTAGACTAGTCTCGTCAGCACCAAAACTGGAATTGAACCCGATAGTCTGCTTCATGCCTAAACATTCTCACTAAAAAATGGATCTGTGCAAGATTTGGCCTGCTTTTCAATTCACGTCGAAATTGTACGTTGGGATAATGACCCGCAGGCTTGGTTGAAGCTAAAATCCACTCCAGGCGGGACGAGAACACCTTTTTGGAGACAAGGTAAAGAGAAGATAAAATGGATTCGTGAGGGCCGTTTATATGATTGTGGGAAGATGCAACCATCAGTCCTCATGATCATGTGCAAACCAAGAAGATGATAACCCTAATTCAAGATCTACTGGTAGCCTTGAAGCCAACTAACACAAACATAACTATAAAAACGTTAGTTCAGGGACACCAATGTTTAAATGATCCAAGCAAAAGCACATTTGCGAATGGATAATCCCGAATGTACGTCTAATTGTGATGATAGGCCTTAAGACTGTATATGATTAAATCATAATTGGTCAGTCCAGGGTCAACAAGGTTTAGTGCTCTAAGGACATGCATGACGTAATCATGCAGTTGTGGCTAAAATCATCATTGAGCTGATCTGTTAAATCGAACCGAAGGTGTGTGTTATGTGGGCTGCGTCAATCTGAACGTCTACAGAGCAACAGGAATCAGACTTCGTCATTTGAGGAAATCGATCTTTGAAGGTCTTCTTCATACTCATTCCGGCATAATGAAAGTCCCTACAACCGGTTGTTAATGCCCACGAGTCTCTTCTTCAGGCTAGAGGAAAAGTGTTGCTGGTCAGTCTTGAGGATCGGCATAGGGGGAGACACGAAGGTCAAAATGGTTGTCATTTGAGCAATCGCGACATTTGATGGCTCACCTCGGGGTCAAGGCAATGCTGAACAAGTCCTGAGGCACGAAAAGACCTTCTGTTTCATTTGATCTCCACTCATGCTCTAGAAGAGGCTCCAAGGGGCCGCACTGATCTGCCGATTGGATCGAAGCGATTGAATCAACTTTCAAGCTCCCATCAACATGAGACATCTTCTGAACACATTGACTATGAGCCATCCAGTCTTGGGGAGGCGAATTAACGAATGACCTCACCTTTAGTCACGAGACGAAAGCAGTTGGTTCCCAACTCTCGTATCTGCCCAGCCAAGATTCCACACTTGAGCATGCATCCTTCAACAGGGTTGGAAGCTGGAGATTTACGGTCGGCTCAGAATAAACCGCTAGAAGAAATCGCACCAGTGACCATCAGTGATTACCAGAGCCTCAAGAGTAGAGTACGATTGCAATGTGATTTCTCCTCTTCTTCATCATCATCACAATCACCAGCTTCAGCAGCATTGTCGTCCATTTTCTCTTCACCTCTATTCATATCCTTCCTCTCCTCCTCCTATTATACTTCTTCTTTTTCTACTACTACTAATTCTTCTTTCCCTTCTTTTTCCTCTTCTTCCTTCTCTGCTTCGTACTTTTCCTCTGTCTGTAATCCTTAATCCCCTAATTATGGACCATCTATTACTTCCTATCCTTCCTTTTATTTTTCGCCTTCTTCTTTACTTTTAAATCTTCTTCTTTTCACTTTATCCATTAATGTCATCATCCTCTACCTATTCTTACCATTCTCTTTATACTTTTCCTCTGCTGCTATTACTAAATCTTCTACTCCTCTTCATATCCTCCTTTTCCTTCCTCTCATTTTCTTTCTCTACCTTTCCTTCTTCTTCTTTTGTTTACTTCTCCTTTTTCTGGTCCTTTCCATCACCTCCATTTCTTCATCCTCAATATTTTATTTTTCTTCTTCCCGTCATTCCTTTACTTTTTTTTTAATGCTCCTCTTTCTTATTTTTCGAATTAGAGTAGAGTTTCGAGACTACCAGTAAATCAGTAATATAAGATGTATTCACCCTAGTTCGTTTAAGGTGATTTCTCCCACAATGATATGACGTTTCCATTCAATTTTGCATAGCCTTGCTTTCCCAAAAGTTGTTCTCGTCCCAGCTGGAGTGGACGGCAATTTCGGCCTTGCATGTTAACCACTACGCCACATTGCCACGAGTGCTTGTGGGTCACAGGACAGATGTGAATTTCAAGAAATGTCAAGCATTTTCTATATCACATTCTGTGATGTGATTGTCGATGAAGCAAAATGATATTTGTTACAGCAATCGACGACATTATTTTTTCGTAAATGAATAGGTTTTCGAGACTCCCAGTAAATCATATATATGAGTCAAAAACCCACTCACATCCGAGAGAATCCCTAGATCCTTGGCTTATCGACAACTGGTTACATTCCTCATATCCACTTCATTGCATAGCTTAACTATTTCCCCTCCAATCCATCCTGGAAACAATTGTTCCTGGTTTCTCCAGAACCTAGACCCCTTTATTGCGCTCACAAGCTGTGCTCTTCAAGCCCTCACTGCTCAAGAAAACAGGAGACGTCAGTCAAATTAATGCTCGTCTGTGCACACATCCATGCCATGATGCACTTCTGTGTGTGTATGCGTGTGGGAGTTGGTAGTAATGTCAATTCGCTGCTTACTCGCCTACCCTTCCTTTAGATTATTCTTTCTTTTGTCTTCCTGACCCCTTTTCACACTCCTACTTGAGCTTTTGTCACCGTATGTGTGTATTTGCATGAGCCTGTATGTGTGTGCAACTGCATGTATGAATTAGATGCTGATCTTCCTGAAAGTATGAAGAGTAATTTGGGTAAAAGGAAAAGAAAGTCCCTATTAAATGCCGTCTGAAGTCAGTTCGAATTGTCAGCTGCGGCTGCAGCTTCAGAGTGTCTACAATTCCCTCCTTTAAGAAGCCGCCAGCTTCAGCGGACGTCTTGACAAAGAATCCCGACTTATCCTATCAAGTGACCTGCTTGGCTGGCTATCCCACTTTACTTGTGAAACTGCGAGCTCGATCTCACGCATACATGGCGGCCAAATGTCCCCGGCCAGCTGTGACTGGAATCTAGTCACAGACACATTCCCTCAGTTGGTATGAAAGATTTCACACCTTATTGGTGGCAAAATGTATCTTCTCCCTCTCTAAAGCATCTACAGGTTTTGGTGCTGACTGTGATGCGCAAAAGTGAAGAAAAACACACCTAGAACTGGGCCACAACAGCGCCGGAAGTCTAAAACGGTGGAACTAGCTTCGAGTCGCTCTCACTTGCCGCCGGCACAAGGCAAAAGCAGACAAATAGCAAATCCTTTGTCCCCCTTTGGTCCGCCCAAAGCTTGACTGTGTGACTGAGTCTAGCGCAGTTTTGCGCAGGACTATTGGTTCGAGTCGAGGATCTGCATGACGGCTAATCTGGCTTTGGGTGTGAAATCTGATGCTTCCAATCTCACTTTGTTCATAACTTTATGACTCGAGCCAGCCAGCATAGTTGGCTTGTCGATGGTGGCTTTGATATTGCTCTAGATTACTGTTTTCTGGCATGTCTGCTAGTCCACAACTCGTGCATCCTGGCCGGGGCCAGTGGAAGGCCTGCTGTATGGAATGCGTCACACGTTCGAGCTTATGTCACGGCCCAGGCCTGGACCCTTCACTTCGCAAGATTGCTGGCCGCGGTACAAGAGGTTGTCAAGCCCCTATAGTACCAAAGGTCCATCGAGGAGGCGAACAAGTCTCTCTCGATGGTCCGCAGCAGTGGGACTTGTCGAGTCCGCAAGACGACTCATATGGCCTGTATGCCCCCGGTGCCAGGAGACAACGAGTCAACATCATCACTTTGGCCCTTGCCTTGGTAACAGCCAACCTCACCATTCGACACCCACTCTCTCAGGGTCGACT